TTGAATATATGCATTAAGGTAGGACCTGGTCAATCTGGCAAAGATTATCTTGAATATATGCATTAAGGTAGGACCTGGTCAATCTGGCAAAGATTACCATCCTATAATATTATTGATAAATGACATAAACAGCAGATTTTTTATTTTTTATTTGACCATCATGATTTATTTAATGTAAATAATAACTAAAATGCCTTAATGTTGTTTTTTAACCAAAGTGTATATTGTGTGTTGACTAAATTGCCTAACTAAAATGTCTATTGACTAAATTGCCAGTCATTTCATTTTTTCTTGATAGAGCAATTGATAGATGACTTCATGACACATTAAATTGACTCTATAAAATCCATTCTCTGTAGTGAACACCTAACAACAATGAACACTCTTTTGTGGCTACATGTGTTCACTATATACAGGTTTTACTCTGTTAAAGAAGTAGTAAAATTAAACTATTCAGAATCTTGATACAATTTGAGACATGCAGTATACATGTAAGATAGGTACGGTAATTATTTATTCAAAAAGCATAGCTGATTCGTACTTAGTGAAGATGTGAAGAAATACGGGAAGATAAGATGAAAATAAGTTATGACAGACGAAGGTGTGAAAATGGAAAAAAGACATCCTAATATCAAAAAAATAATCAACATGTTCACTAGTTGATTATTAAAACCTAATTATAGGTTCTTCATCCTTATTTAGCTATATATGTAACTATATGTAACTATTAATTAGAATTAATTTGTGTGACTTGATTACGTAATAAAAAAATTAATTAATATGACTTGAACACTAATACATATCCTGAAAGGGGAAATTAGTGGAAAATTCTCATTTTCACAATGCAGACCAAAATTGCCAATTTTTTCATGATTTTTCTCATTTTCAAGGGAGTGCAAATGGATTTTCAGGTGGGTGCAAGCCTATTATCAAAATCTCAAGTGGGTGCTGCACCTACTTGCTTTAATGCTGGGGACATCACTGTAGACATCTTGGAAACATTGGTACCCTGTTAAACAGCAGAATTAAATTGCTTCATAACTAAAAATGTTGACCAAACAAAATATTTTTGTGGTAGTTAACAGGCACAATAATCATTACTAAATGAAATATTGTACACAGAACATTTGCAACAATAATTTAAGTTAATGTGCCCTGTACATGTCCACATGGGAAATGAATGGTTCGCCCTCTGGCAGTTTGCACCATTGTTTATTACACAGGTAGACTATCCTTCGCATCCTTCAAAATGATGTCAACTTGGACCAAGGATCAGACATTTCTGTTGAAGTTTTTGCTTGTTTGCGCATTTAATTAAGTGATATCAAATAAATTAACACTGATAATATTGACCATGATATTGTACTTGATATTAACTGCTTAAAATACTTTCAAATACTGGATACTGAAGTACTTTATTACTTTATATACATTAATTTATTGAACTACAACTGACTACCACCTTATTTTATATCTTATAGAGTTTCATTATTTCCCCATTATACACTACCATACCCCATACTGCACCCTGTAATTCTTTAAAAGGGATAAGGTTTAAGTGACGTTGCAAATGGAGCGGGTATTCTCTATCTTTGTACATTGCAAACTACTCGGTGAATCTATATAATGCATTAGTCATGAAATATATGTATATCTAGTATAGATACCTTCAAAAATGTCCTCCATTTTCAACTTCGCTGTTGCCTGTATCCCTTTAAAAGATACAGGCTACAGTGTGGGGGAAGGGTATTGTGATTACAATAGTATTGATACGGATTAAACTTATGAGCAATAATAAAGGTAGCCTGAAAGTTACATTTTTTTAAATGTGATATGCAGCTAGCTATAATGTACTATGGCAGCTAATATGAAAGTCAGAGAACATTATGAACATCTGTTTCATTTCTAACAATACATTTATAAAAAATAACTGCCTTTGTGATGATGATTTATAAAATACTTCAACAACAGGCCCAGAAAGTGGAGATCCACCAAAACCATTTTCTATGTGTGGCTATTTCCTCTGACATAATGATGACAACTATTTATCAACATGAAAACATTACTGAGATGTTTTGTTTTGCTGGCTGATTGGTTAAAAATATGGTTTGGTTTGAATCGATTTGTGAACTGAGCCATTTGGGACAGGACATTTGCATTAAGGCCAGGGCAGCTAAATTATTAATTCTTGCAACTCCTTCAGAGGTTAGTTTAGAAACAATCTCTCACCTGGCTACAGGCCTAAAAGGGCATTGTAGTGCACTAGATATATGGCATATAAACACAATTAAAATTTGAAAATTTGGCAAGCCTCCCTATTAGATTTGGCTTTTTTTAAGTCAAGGGCACAGGATATGAGGTAATTTCAATGGCTTGTATATATCATGTTCTATCTGGCTATAGTTATATTTCATGCTTCTAGGAGATTACGCATGCTTCTTCTTTCTCCCTTTGGGTAGCCATGCTGTACATAAAAGCAACTTGTTATTCAGAGTTATTCAGGCCTTTTACAAGTAAACAGAGTGGGGGAGACTATGTACTTTAATGACCCAATGGCGCCCCGAGGGTTAAAGCGTTGATGCTCGACCAACTGAGCTTTAACAGCTTATGCCACCAACTACAAGTGTGCAATAGTAACAACTTGTTATCAAAGGTTGTTACAGTCCCGAGGTTACAGTACTAGATGGCGATGTAGGACTAATTCTGGTAATTGGAAATGATTCACGCTTACTTCCTGCGAAAGCTATTTGGATTCCCACGGAGCATTTGGACAGCTGAATGATTGGAGCGAGATACGCAACAAACGAAATGAATTTTGAGAATTAGTTAGGTTCGGAAAACCTCCGGAGATTTACGAAAATGTCCAAGCAGAAAACGCCATATTGGAATTTGGCAGTAAAAACATTCACTCGACTAACAATTACAAGTCTTGATAGAAAAGGAAGTACTTCAGCGCTCCAATACTTACACGGATTGATGATACTGATGTAAGACACAGTTAGAGACCAAAAGTAAGCCGCGGATCGACTTAATTCAATTTCAAAGGTCACTATTAATCAGCTGTTCACTTCCCCGTTTGAGAACCATAAGTTTCAAAATCTAACATTGCTCTCGAAGTGAGTAAATTCACGCTTGTCAAACCACATCCCAACCTATTTATTCTCATACTAGAATATGTACTCAGTAATTTTTATTCTAACTGGTTTGCTCCAGTCAGAGTCAGCCTTGGAAAAAAGTTTTTGAACTGAACTTCAAGTAAGTCGACGGCTTGATAGTTCAGCCTGCGATGACGTACCGTTACTTCGGTCCAAAGCCTTCTCTATATTCCGGCTTTGAGGAGGAAGATTGAGTTGCCTTAGTATTATCAATATTGTAAATCATTGTGTCACACGCACAGTAAATATGGCATAATAATATGAAATATACCTTTATGCAGTCAATATGGTATAACGAAATTGGGACTTCTGCGCATGTTAAAATTTTTCGTCAAAACTCAACTTTTGTTCAAGTTGATACGATTGTCTTTCGAACTAGAGACTTACCTCATTCGAAAGATCATAAAAGACTTTGTCTATACTGAAAATCTTAGATCCAAACATAGTAGAATACGCCGTCAGTCCGCATTTGATTTTTTGAAGTGAGTTTCGTAGATCGTCAGATTTCTCCGACTGATACCGGGTTATCTCAAATTGGTTCGTTTATAAATACGAATTTCTTTACCGTTGTAAGGCGCATGCGCAAAATTGATTTATAAACGTCATTGGTTGATGGTTTTTCTTCTGAGCATGCGTGAAGTCTGATAAACACTTATGACGAAGACCGGAGCAAACATTACTAGCTCTCGAACGAAATTCCAAGATTCAGATCATTTCGCCGTGTTTGCTAAGTGTGTATACGTGAATGACAAGCTGTTTTGAGTAGATCAGGTACCTGTTTTCGACACAACATTGATTTAGCTTGACATTGATGTGCACATTGACACTTTTGAGCATGTTAATACAAGTTTTTACACGCTTAGCACGAGACGGGTTTTCGAAAAATCTGTTATCTGATTCACTCGATTATCGTATGGATATGTATTTCTGCTGACATTTCAACACCACATCACATAGAATTACGATGCAGAATGATAATAAAACACAAAACAACTACTAAATGCCACTTGTTATTTCACAGGAAGTAAAAATGCACACTGCCTAGATTCTTTGTAAGGGTCGTCAGACATCGGATTGGCCGCCATATTTGAAATGAAAATATCGCTAAATAGAGGTCTGCGCATGTCTCAACATTTCGACTGTATGTATAGATTTGAAGAACATCAGCTCACATCCCCGTCTGAATCTATTGTTATATTTGATTTCTTTAAGCGAGAATAATTTCAAATATTGAATTCACGTCCAGAACCGGAAGCCATTTTTAGCTACAGCGAGAAAATTCCACCATGTGTCAAACTCCGAAATGAAATTTTGAAATATCTAAATCCAGACAAGCAACGCTTCATCCTAAATATGATTAATATTCTTAGAAATATTTATAAAATTTATTAAAAATGAATTCTAGGTGCGTGTAGGTGCTTGTAGCACAGTACATACGGAATCAATGAAGTTACTCGAGTAAACATACCGTATTTGCATAAATGCTAAAAGTCTTACAAAGACCGATGATGTACATATTCTTTATTCATGCTTACATCAAAATATGGTTGAAATACTTCACAATATACATTTTGAAATCAAAAAAAAATAGAAACAACTCATAAAACTGGTGATTCATCCAGTAACAGACCAGAAATGACAAATTTTGAACACACCTGTGATTATTTCCAGGTAAAAATCTTTGATCTTTTTCTGTTTACATTTCAGCCATACAAGACCGAATCAATCTTCATAGATCCGATTTTATAGCATAAAGCAGATTTCATACCATAAAGCAATCAAATCCAATATACAGCTGGGGTATAAAGATGACAAATATACGAAAATAAAGACGAAATAACTTACCTGTTCAGATGTGGTGTACTTTTCGAAATTCGTTTCACATTGGAGTTTTTGAAGCTGTCATTTTCGAACCGTTTTCGTCAATAAAGGTCGCCAGTATTCCATAAATTTATATTATAAACACTTATATCGGTGAAGGAGTTTCGTATACACCTTTTAGAATTCAGATCACATGCACATTTGCTACTCGAAAACGTCAATAAGCTTTGACATTCCACTTGTAAATATTACATTCCACATTGTGATTGATATCACTCTCCATGCAGAGTCTGATATAGAAAACCAATACACCAAGGACTGGGCACTGTGTATTAATATTACAGCTGCATGGAGATTGGCTAATCAATTTTCGTATTGCAACACGTCACGTGATTGTGTACTATTAAAAAAGAGAGGACATCTGTGATTGGTCAGAATTAGTGCGGGAAATCTGATAACTTTTAAAAAGTTCAAACTTGACTTGTGTTCGTCCTTAAAACAGGGACTACCAATCAGAGATTGTCTGTGGTCCCCTTCTTCAAGGCCAATGTATCGCTAGAGGCTCGAGTAAGTCTGTGGGAACAGAGTTTGTAAAGTTATGAATTAAAATTTTGGCACATATTTTACCAATGGCGTCTTCCATTGACATAATAGAAGTTAAGTAAAACACATTTAGGCCCTCAAATGGCACCATAAACAACGTAAACATGTTATACGGTATTATGAGCCCCATGTTTTGCTGTCAACTTCTCATTTCACATACATTTCAATATATTCTTCGATCAAATCAGTTCTATCTTACCTCTCAAATAACTATGTTATCTGAGTGTATTCTTCCTTCGAGCACTTGTCACCTTGAGTTGTGACCCACTCCCTCCCTTGATTAGTGTTGGATAGAGGGTTTTATTCCATAGGTTCTGGGCCGATATAAAGATGGCAGCACCAACAGAATCCAGTATTATATTTTTCAAACACAGATCAATTACCATGCCATCTTTATTTAAAAATGATTTCTATCGCCCTTAGCCTATGGTTTATTCCTCAGAAAATATGTACTGTACCTCCCTCAGTTCCACAAACCCTCAGAAAGACACATAAGGGTTATGTACTGGGAGGTTTTGGATACAGGGTTAATCCCAAGGGAAATATGGGCAAAAACGAAAACCTGTAGAGAATTTTTGGCAGTAGTTCAGACAAATATTGCAGAGAAAAAATTTGAAAACACAGAAGATGTGTTACCTCTTTTATTAACTATTATCAAAAATAATTGAAATTCTGTAAACATATATCAAGACATATGAACAGTTTTCATTATATCTTGATGGCATGATTTCCAGTAAAGCCCGTTTATAGCCTATCCTCCAACACAAGGTGAAAACAATATAGCGATTTTTAAATGAAATAGAAAACATATGAAATGATAATTTTTATGCAACAAGAAAAATATTTTGCCTGCATTTACACTTTGTGTGGATTACGTCTCTTTTGGGAGAACAGTGATAAACATGATACAGGGTGTCCCGAAAGTATGCCCCCCCCCCCCTAGGCAGACATATTCCAGTGTCCTCATAGTATGTGTCATATATCATTTTAAAGCTTGTCCAAAGTTACATTGATTTGCCAAGTATCATGGTTTAACTCCCAAATGGGAAAAAGTTACAGTCATTTTAAAAGTTAGTGTTTTGTCAAAATAAAGTTCAATTTTACACCACATTACTAGTCAATGTGTCCCCCCTTGACCGTGCTAACAGCGGCAATTATTTTCAGATATGACCTTAAAAGTCCTTCAAATAGGAGTGTGTAACTTTATAACCCTCTTAAAACCTGTTAAGGGACTTTAGAAGAGTTTCCTTAGAGTTTCTACCCTCACCGTTCTCTTTTTCCAACTCAATATCCATCCAATCCGAAAAGAATTGCTGCTGTTAAGATGGCCCGAGAGGACACATTGACTAGTGATTTGGTGTAAAATTGAACTTAATTTTGACCAAACACTAAATTTTTAAATACCCGTAATTTTTTCACATTTGAGAGTTGAACCATGATACTTGGTGAATCAATGTAACTTTGGATAAGCTTTGAAATGATATATGACACATACTATGACGACACTGGTATATGTCTGCCTAGGGGGGACCCCATACTTTCGGGACACCCTGTATAGTTGATGTAGCTATCATTTTAGACATCACTACTGATAGTGATACCACACTGCCTCAAATATTTTCAAAATACAATAACAAAATGATTTGTCAGAATATATTGTATTTATCATTATTTCAGTTAGACACTTAACATGTACTTGTTTCTTTCTTTTGGAGAGCTTTCTTTTTTCGAGTTTACATAAAGTATGCTGGTTATTAGCATTTTTAAATATGACCATCCTTGGCCCAAGAGTAATTCATTGCATTACATGATCTGCTATGAAAGCAGTGAAGGACCGATCTTGAAGGATGAATATGACACGGGCAGTACGAATTTATATTAACCATGACCAATAAAAAGAAAATACTATGTTCAATATAATTTTAATCATTTTCCATAGGTTCTGGGCCGATATAAAGATGGCAGGCACCAACAGAATCCAGTATTATCTTTTCGATTACCATGTCATCCTATGCATTTAATTAACATTATCATTAACTCTTTGTCTTAAAATAGATGTCGCCCATCAATCACTATCAAATTCCAAAGCTCCAATTTTACATTGAAGTTCAATGTATTTGAAAGAATATTCGTATAGGCATGTAATGATTCCATTTATTGTCATTAAATCTCAGTGAAGCGTGGTGAACTTGAATGTGGCAGATTTGTGTTCCAATATCTCAATCAGAATACGATTAATTTTCATCCGGCAGGACAGCTCCAAAGAGTGATCATTTGTTTCACATGTAATGAGGCATGATATTCTTCAACTTAAGGAGCAGTGTTTGTAATTCTGATTCTAAATAAACCTTAAATGTTCTTAAGTCATGAAGATATCAAACTAGCACTCACTGACGTAGCCAGGAAAAAAAGCGACGAGGCGAAAAATATCCAAAATGGCGACTATTTAACTAAGCTAGGATATCATGAAAGAGATCCCAACTTCCTGGAATATTTTACATCGTTATAATATACAATTAATTTACGATGGCATTTCTAATTTATATACCCTCCTAATACCAATACCTCAACAAGGTCATTGGAATATTGTTTTTCACGAAAACGTGACTGGAATGACAGATTTTGTGGCATTTTGATACAATCTAGTTGAAAGCCCATGGTAAAGCTAAGTTCACCCCAACGGCGTTTTGATGGCGCTTTAAAGCGGCGTGCAAAACCTAGATACTGTATTTCACTATATTGTATAAATTGCTAAATTATCTCTTAACACTATACAGTAAAGCTAAATTCACACCAACGGCGCTTTAAAGTGCCATTGGTGTGATCTTAGCTTAACTGACGGATGTACGAAACACGTCATGGTATATACCTTACTTGTAATATAGATTTATTTTTAAGAAGTAGCAACACAGCGTTTGATAGAACGTGAGCCGCAGAGGGGACTCTGCCATGATCAACTCCACAGAGCTTCTGACCCTCACGCTATGGACCTCCTGCATGCAGAACAGAACAGTATTCAATGCTGAGAAGAAGCATCTACCAACTGACCAAGCACAAAAGAAATCCCGAAAGGAGTTTTCTAATACCAATTAAATATCTTTACAGTAACAAAATCCCATCAAGGGTAACCGTTAGAGATACAGGTGGAGGTTTAACCTCTGCTGGGGTCATCTTCGCACGCTCCGGATTTCACTGCGTCCAGCTCTGTGAATTTTACCAGGATTGAATAAGGATAAAGCATCTTATTTTTAGGTTGACTAAACTTGACAAAATGTAACGCTTGTCGTTTTTGACGTAAGTCTCTTTGCGCCAAAAACTGCCCATTGTTTTGTTTTGGTATTTTGACGCCATGATGTTACGCTAATTGTCCCCAGATTCGTGCGATGTTATGTATCGGCTTTTAGGCGGTGGAACACATCGAAATTTGACAAATTGGTATGCGAACATATTGATATCTGAGGGTTCAGCCGAGGACCCCCGCCGAAATTTGTACACAGAAACCCCCTGGGGGAGACTACTGGTGATGTATCTTCGAAACCAGTATTGATGAGCACTTTGTGTTTTATTTATGAACTTATTTTATATCTATACAATGACTTCCTTGATGTTGAGATACAGGATTTATAGAATCTTCTAGAACAAATATTTTGGTATGCTTTTTCATCTTTAAATTGTTCATCTTCGCTACGATCCGTGTGAAACTTTTGCAAAAATGTTACCAGTTTGGTTCTATTTTTCAACAAAATATTTAAGATCGGCTGTGATTTGTTCGGGTTGGCGACAAATACCTGCAAGCAGAAAACAGAAAATTCGTTAGTTAAGCTAAGTTCACACCAACGGCGCTTTGATGGCGCTTTAAAGCGGCGTGCAAAGCGGCTCTGCACGCCGCTTTAAAGCGCCATCAAAGCGCCGTTGGTGTGAACTTAGCTTTAATATAAGTGTTAGATGGCAGACAATTATCAACTTTGTTCTGAGTTATGTATTCAAAATTTGGTTTCAAAAGTAAACTGAAGTGATAGATAATTTCTCAGGATTCCAGTGATCAACATTTTAGAGGGAGATTCCAAATTTTGAAGATTCCTGATCTAATCCACCTTTTACATGAATCCGATACACTCGATCCAATCCACCTTTTAATCCTTACCACTTTATTGCTGTTACCTGCTGTTTTCTGGTTCACCGTTTACTCTTTGAACTTCACTTCAAACAGATTCCCTTTATCACATCCAACAAGGAGATGTCCTTTGTGGTCTATAACTACTGCGTATGGCAAGAACATACCATCTGCCATGGAAATGAGGTGTCTGAGGAACACACCACTAGGACTCACTAGACTCACTCTGTGGTTCACGTTATCAGCTACAATGGTGTGATCACCATCAGTGCAAATACCACGTGGCCAGGACGGCGGACCACCATCTGAGCTAAATGAGCCATACTGCATAAGCTTCCTCCCATCTCTGTCTATCACTGTGACACAGTTATTGTCCAAGTCAGAGATCACCACATTGTTGTTTTCTCTCACTGCAACGCATGGGGAAGAATCTTGAAATAATTCACCAGGTGTTGTCTTCACCACTTCACCTGTTTGGTAATCAATGAAGGAGACAGACTTAGCCCTCCCGTCCGCCACCACTAACTCTCCACCACTAAATTCAATGCCATATAGCCTTGTGAATGATGTATTGATATCACGCCTATGCTCCCCTCCCTGTGTGTAGATACTTATCGTACCAGTGCCATTGGTGAATGCATAACAATTGTCTGGTGTAGAGGCAACACAGTACATCTTTATATGTACTGTCTTGATAAGCCATGAGTTATTGAAGAACTGGATTGCATCACATCTCACAGCAGCAAGACTAGATGTTCCCACTACTGCAAGATCATTTATCCATTCTAGAACACTACTTTCATCAGTCAGCTTAATTGTCCTCTTCAGCTGTGGCCTTGGGAGGTATCTAGAAGGCTGTGTAATGGGTCCTGGAGTTGTAGGCATGTCACAAACTCCAGGGGAGCTCACAGGATTGCTGTATGGACTCCCAACACTCATCATTGGCTCGTGTATAGAAGAAACGCTCATCCGTTCAACATTTGAAGACATACTCATCGATTCATTGATATCGTCTTGGTCATTTTCAAAAGAAAGTACAATTGAAGGTGCCTCTCGACGAGAGATACTTCCCAAACGTACACTGTTTCCAGAAATTACACATGGCTGGAAGGTTAGAGGAACAATATGGGTGGATGGTAAGTATACTGGTATGGGCAGTCCTTGCTCTTTCACAGCTAACAGTTGTCTGGTTATTTCAATGTCGTCTTCAAGTGTTCTTATATGTGTCACAAAACTCTCTACAAGTGCTCTAGATATCTGAATGTCATCTATCTGGCTTAATTTGGACTTGACTTCATTATGGTGATACTCATCGATTTTATTCTTCCAAGTGTGGAAAGCATGGTTAACATCTGGGGTTAGTAGTTTTGCTTCTTTTATATGGCTTCTGTTTTCATTTAATTGTTGAACTAGGGTCTGATTTTCATGCTCCAAAGAATTAATTTCCTCCTTAATTCTGTTTGGATCATCTTCTGGAAGTGATGATAAATATTCATCAATAACGATTTCAACTTCCTGCTTTAAACCGTCGGCGGCTTGGTTGATTTCCAGGAAGTTATGTCCATTGTGAAAAAGGGGGAGGCAACTTAGGCACACAAGACTGTTGTCATCTGTACAGAATAGTACTAATGTCTCACAAGGATGTTCTTGACATGTTTGAGCAATTGGACTATCTGTAGAAGTGGCGGGACTATTTGGAATGGCAGACTGAGCTATCTCCAACAATGTGTTCACAAGGAAGCTGGCTTTTAGAGCAGTAGTTCCCCCCTGCGGTACATGCCATGTATCCCGGCACACAGGGCAGCGTAACGGCTCGTTTGATCCATTATTTCCCACTAAGCCATCAATACATCCTAGACAAAACGAGTGATGACACGGCAGCAGTCTAGGATCAATAAAACGATCACGACAGACTGTACATTTTAGGATGTCTTGGAATCTTTCAACTTGAATTGACGCTGAAGCCATTTTAATGTATCTGTGTCAAAACGGGGAATCCCCTTTTTGTCAAGTGTACTGAACGGGGAATCTCCTTCTCAGAAGGACGGCGTCGTGACTCGTGATATGCAGCTAACATTATGATTTTAGATAAGAGTTTAGCTTCTTTAGTATTCACGGTGTATAACCCAAACGCTCCTACATGCACGACGGAGCGTTACATTTACGCGGAAACGCTCCGGAGCGAAATAAAATGGCGGCTAATGAAGATTCTACTATGACCGTAAGTATTGTTTCTCTCGTTTCTCTTACATATCATATGTCATGGTGAAATATTATGTACCATTCGATGAACAATACCGTGAGCAAAGATCTTATTTATTCAACTTCTGGTGGTAAACTGTTATTTGCTTGATCAAAGCTCCGTAGTGTAGATCGAACGAATCTGAAGATGACGATTTGACCACAAATTACGAATTAAACTAGTATTTCTATGAAAACGTTAATCTTTCTGTTTAAGTAGTAGATCACAAACTCGTATATTCTCATTTCCTAAAATCCCAGTCCAAATCCATTACTTGTTCTCGAGAAATCGCTTGTTTTCCTCGAAACGCTCCGTCGATTTAGACCACAATTTTAGAAACGCTCTTACCATTTTGTTTTGCTATCATTTTCAGATTATTAGAGTTCCGAATCGAATCTATCTCTCAAAAACGTGTTGTACTTGTTAGGCAAATTGAAACATCTGAACCTGGTGGTGCTAAACGTGCAACTAGCTGATTAAAGCCTATACATTAGATGATGTCATGCCTACATATGTGCTAAATCATAAAACTATAGAAAAAACGAAAAGTTATATGTGAATTAATCTTTCTTCTATTGATGCCAAGGGGTATAATATATCTTTTCTTTCTCTTCCTGAAAAGGAAAGGCAAGCTATATATTTCATTAACTGATCTTGACTACCGGAGCGTTTCCAATTCACTGTGTTAACCAGATCGGAGCGTTTCTTGAATATGAGAATGTCATCATTTTTAAGACTGGATTTTCGGTCATCAAATCACTATTACGATAATGTATGGTGCGTTGAAGCATTGGAATTTGACTAAAATATACGTTGGTGCTCTTATCTTGGCTCAACTAATCACATGTATCGACAAAATGGGTTTTGACCAGTAGAATGACAAATACGTTTTTGAATTTTGATAACTATACTGCTTCGTACAGCTCTTCCTCATTGCTTCAAACGTCAACAGCCAGCCACGTACAACATGAATATCACACCCATCGAATGGTATTCTCGAAATATGTAACTCATACCTCTTATTCCCATTATTGGGGAAATTGTCAGACGGCTCATCATTCCCGCCAGACAGTTTTCCTACTCCGGAGCGTTTCTTTGTTTAATTTCAGTAATGAAACGCTCCGTCGTGCATGTAGGAGCGTTTGGGTTATACACCGTGGTATTGTATACACCATGCAGGTGCTCCCTGGGTGATGAGAGTGTGGGATCGTTCCACAAACAGATTGATCTACAAGTATCTGTTTGCAGGACGACCCCACACTCCCCCGGCGCCGCGAGGAATTTCATATATTATTACATACTGCTATAGGACGCTGACTGTAACCAGTACAGGGTGTCAAATAAGTCTGTTCTCCCCCCTTAACATTTTTATCTCTAAATATATCATACTTTCCCATATATCATTTTGAAGCTCATGGAAAATGCTGATCACCCTCAAAAAAACAATCATAAACTCCTCCTAATAAAATTGCGTACAATGTTTCTTGTAAGGTTGTAGTTGACCTTTGATTACGTCAAAACAAGTAAAATTACCAGGTATAGTGAATGAAAAGTGAAAAGTTGATACTGCAGTGACAATTCCAACATCGGGTGATTCCAATGTTTCTCAATATCATTACTGAGTAAAATGTTTTACATTCAGGGGAGTCTTTGAAGCAGGGGCATCTTTCATCATAAAATAGTTGATAACACCTAAAATTAAACGTTCTGAATGATTTATACAGGATCATATCCTTGTAGAATTGAGGCCATCTGGGCTGCTGGGGGAGACATACAGACTATTAAAAAAGTGAAATATGGACATCACTAAAAATACTCTAAAAAAATGGGAATTTAACCAATCACTCTGAAATTTGTTGTGTGATCAGCAAATTAAATTCCCTTTAAGGTGGTATATACTAATCCTATGTTTTCTCTGAATTAAAAAAGTTAAGGGGGGAGAACAGACTTATTTGACGCCTTGTACATGACCCAAATCCGCTAGGTCAACAGGTACAGCATATATTCCAAATGGTGCCTAACCAACAAAAGAATGGGGAACATTCAGATAACATAATGAATGTACATGTAGTTGAATAATGTAGCTTGCTAATAACAAAACACTACTGTGTTTTATCGTCATGTTTATACACTCCCCTCCATAAGTTCGGCAACCTTAGCTCCCCCACTGAAGTACGTGTTAAAGCCTCTTTACGGCGATGAAATAACTTGTAATATTGATGGTAACGTAACTTGACTTTATTTCCAATACCTCCAAAGTTCGAAATTGATGATAAATTTGTAATCCAATAGGAAATAGGGGATTCGGGGCAAATCAGAAATCAGAATATCTTTCCAGTAAAAGGTTCAGCAAAAAGATTTATATAGAAAATTGAATTGTCTAACTTTTTTTGTACACAAGTGTTTAGTTTATTTGATGAATAATTCATAAAGTTACAGCGCTTCAAAGTCATTTTTGAAAATAATTTTTCGCCGCCTGTGTTATTTCAATGGGAGAGGTTTTTTGAAAAACAATTTTGACTTTAAAGCCATATAACTTTGTTGAACCTGAAGAAACTTGTCAATTTTTGTTAAATAAAGTTGGCAAATTCATTTGCCTGCCTAACTCGTATTTTGCAAGGACTCGGATCGATGGTTCTGTCATATGACTTGCGGCATTGGTTAACATTGGAATGTCGATTTTCACAAATTCATCATCAATTTTCGACTGTCAGATTAATAATTGCAATTGGGGAAAAAATTGAGAAAATTTGGAGGTATAGGAAATAAAGTAAAATTACGTTTCCATCAATAGTATAAGTATTTTCATCCTAGGTTAAGTAAATGAAAAATCAAAGGCAAAGATGCTTTTACACGTAGTTCAATGGGGGAGCTAAGGTTGCCAATCTTATGGAGGGGAGTGTAAAATAACTATGTGTATCTCATGCTTGAGTGGGTTTGGAGTAGATATCACCCGGGAATATATATCATATCATGAGGAGCGGGCAGGATATATTGTATATGTCCCGCTCCAGGCTAAATGCTCGCAGATATAATATATCCATCCCGCTCACGGGTTTTTTCAAAGATTTAAAAAAGTTTAAAATTTTTGATTTTAGAAGTTTAAATTTTTTGAAAAGTTTGGATGTTACAATTTCATTGATTAAAGGAATATTACGAAAATGTTAAATATAACTTGTACATTTTCTACCCTAAACCCACTCAAGTATGAGATACACCAGTTATGCACGATCGTTTTTGGATATAGGGTATATCCAAAACCACCCGGTACATAACCCTTATACAGGGTGGGCCAAAAAACGCCACTTTTTTTTAAGACACTACAACTTTTTTATTTTCCAACCTACATACCCCAAATTTTGCAGTTATATAGTTCCAGGGGTTCTTAGTAATAAAATAATGTAACAAGTCCTTCAACTTGGATTATATCTGATTTAAAAGAGGAGTTCAATTGGTCTGCCACCCTATTTGATGATATATTTTAGTTTTAGTCGCCTCGCTGATATAGCAGTATCAATGAAATGTTAGCTAAGTTTTTTTCAACCTGGTAAAATTGTCAGCTTTAGTTGAGCAATTTTCTAGATTGGGTGCCTTCATACAATCTCCTGGAGACCTTCACATACCCTATACTCACTGGGGTTTGCATCAGGACTATTAGCTTGGCGATCATCAGGCCATATCAGTTCAGGAACATTTTGCAAATTATGCTTATTTCTCATGGCACACCACATGTTTAAGTGAGACGCTGGTGACATATTTTAGTCAAGTAAAAGTGTTCAATTCATGATACATGGCTAGATAACAACCTCAAGTTTCACTTGGTACTGATGCAAATTATGATTTTGTATCAAAAATTAAAAAGTTATAGCATTTTGAAAAAAGTGGCGTTTTTTGGCCCACCCTGTATATACAGACAAGGTAATTTTTCAATGATGTTTATTGCATTTATAATCATCAAAATCAATCAGTAATTGTAAAAATAATCTTAAATTATTATTACAATTTTGGAAACTCCTAAATTATGAGTTGTGAACTTTTTCAATGACGATTCGTGAAATCTAATCATCCATACCATTGGCCTATTGCAAAGGTTTGATAGGAACAGTGCTTATTTTTAATTTGTTTATCCATCAGAGTCACTGGTGATCCACTCGATAAACGCTGGAACCGTTTCAGTAACAAAATGTCGGAACGTCGAAGGCACGATTTTTCTTTTTTCCTTATTTCACACGTTTTAGGCAGAATTCCCACGACATTTTTATCACAAACGTGTATCAGTATCATATGATTAAGAAAATGTACACATTTGCGAACAAATAGTTCAGAAGACAACAGAATCGTCGATTTAATCCCTCACTTGAGTTACCGAAACGGTATTTCGAAAAACAGTTAAGATCTGCACTTTTAACCCTTACCGTTTATGTAACTTAAGTGAGGAATTAAATCGACGATTCTGTTGTCTTCTGAGTTATTTTTTCGGAAAC